TAAGTCAAACACCTCATTTTCTGTAAATGAATGGATCTGTTTAATGATAAATTATTTTTAATTTAAAAAAACTGACATACTAATACAAATTCTTCATTAAAAAAAGATTGCTCAGTAATATTTTGATTTCTTTACACACTCTAAAAACATGTTCATAATGGGCAAAACCAAAAGATATGAACTAACATAAATGGCCCCTAATAGTTAGTTAGTAAAGCAAAGGTACAGCAGATGTCAGATCTGGAGTACAGACTGTATTTACACGACTTAGAGCTGCTTTTGATATGCTTATTTAGAGTGAGACTTACTGTAAGGAAAGAAGCGAACCCTCATCAGTATTTCTCGTGCAGTCTTTAGAATCTCTACAGCCTGAAGAGGAAGAATACATCAACTTAATGCAATACAATAAAAAGGCTTTCACCAATAAAAACTGTAAACAACGCAACTATGGGCTCACCTTATGGAGGCATTATTGCCCCTTCACTGAGAAAGATGTTTGACTGCACAGTGGTTACTTTCTGTATTTTCTATATTTAATATTGTCTGCATAATGATACTACAATTTGTACAATCTTCATTAGTCGAAATGCTTTTGGCTCTGGTTTGAATGAAATTGGAAACCCAAATTATATTCTCCATTCTTAAGCAGTTTCGCATTCAAGGCTGACAGATCAGCCCACTTTGACCAGTGGAAAATATGACAAGAATGAATAAATATACACTAGCTCTACGTTGAAAACTTGTGTCAATACTATCCATTACATTACAAATATCTGTTAAAGCTGCACTTTCAACATGTTCGACTAAAGTGAAGATGGTCATTAGGTGGTTGTTAGTCTTCCCGGGGTCCACTGTTGTAGGTATGCAATGAAAATGTAAATAATCCACTAGATGGATGGATGCAGTATAGTATAGTGTGTGGATTGAAATCTGTAATCTCAGTTTGAAAGTGCTGCTCTGACTTACTCTTGAGTGCTCTATGTCTTGGAAATCGACCTCATTCACAGAAAGAACCTGGTCCCCCTCTTGAAGCCCTGCTCTGTGGGCATCTGAGTCTGGGACCACCTGCCGACACACACACACACACACACACACACACACAGAGAGAGAAATTAGACAATATAAATGCACAACAAGTATGAATGCCAGTAAAAGCCATACCAAACACCAGGACTACACACACACACACACACACACCTTGGATATAAAGATTCCCAACTGTGATGCCTTGCCCCCACGGATGTTGAAGCCCAGCTGTGCTCCTGGAGGTTTCTTCAACACAATGGTACGAGGCAGGAACTGGGTGAGCTCGTTGTTGTAGTCAGTGTGATGAACCCGCTAAAAATGTACAAAGAAAAAGGAAAGCCGACAATGTACTACCAGAATGACTATGACATGTATTCTTCATACACACTTACTAAAAGCAATCTGATATGGGTCAACAAGCTTAACTTAAATCTTGACTTGACTCTGACCCCGTTCCAGTTGATGCTGTGACTGGTTTTGGTCTGACTGCCAATAGTTGTGTGTTTTTTGTGTTGAAGTCACGCATAGGAAACACAATATATATTAGCTCTCAGTGTGAAAGATAAAGGAGCCCTTTCAACACCAGACTTTGTGTCCACCTGTTATCACATATGACTGAGGTTTGTCTCATACTTAGCTCCTGTAATGACTGAGAATCTCCATCCCCTGATGAATACCCGAAGATGCAGCTGAAAGCTTCATAACGTGCAAACATTTGAATGTAGTTTTATTTGTCTAAGTTATATCTGAGTTAAAGTACAAAGTGTGGTTGGGGTAATATGTGGCATACCTCCTGTGGGGGTATCCATGCTGGTGGGTTCTCATAAGAGGGCAGGAATACCACTGGGAGCTGGTAGTCATCATAAGGAATCTTCTGATCCATTGTTACTGGGAAACACAAGAAGCAGAAATTATAAAGAGTCCTTCTTTAAGCTTTAGGATAGTACTTTGTTATAAAAACAACATGTAACAGCTATTATTATAATCTAATGTACATATTAGTAGGCTGTGTATATGTTAGTGACCGCATTAATACAAAGGAGGGGGACCAACACATAACACTATCTGCCACTGTATGTTACTGTTAGTTACTAAATTCTGCTAAAAATCTATTTCCAAAGAGTAAACCTGCTGACATGATACAAATCCTGAAATAAAAGCGAATATACCGACGTACATTTGGATCAGAAGCTACAAACAGAGTCGTGTTTTATCCTGTTTTGGATCATTTCACTCTGCCATGTAACGTTACGAGCTGCTAGCTGACAGTTAGCCTACTAGCTAACTCCGAAAGGAGCCAGCTTTGCTCTCTTCGTCACAGAGCATTTGAACGAGGATGCACTATCATCATCATAAGGATTAAGATACTGCACAACACGTGGATGAAAACCGCAGAGTGACAGCCATAAAACAACAATCTCACCTGCCAGCCTCAAAGCTACAAACTTCTTTTTCTTATTCTTCCTGTTTGTTTTTATTTTTGACGGCTTGCAATGTACAGGTGCATACCGCCACCTACCGGACCGGAGGATGTAGACCCGGATCTACTTTAGTTTATCTAGTTTACATTAGTCTATGAACAAAATAACAAATAAAAACACATAAAAACATATTCCTATATATCCATATTCCTATATTCTACTAAACAATAAAACAATCTATAAGCCCTCTCTGTGCTTACACACCTTCTCTTTATTTGCCCCTAACATCCCTTCTAGATCTCACCCTCATCCAGCCTCTCTCACCCTTTGTTGTATTCTTACTCTCTCTTCATTGTATTTGATGCAGTGCAGTATTACATGTTCACGCTCAGTTATAGTACAATGTGCACATCCTTGTTAATTTACCTTACCCAATAAAAAAAATTGTCTCATTTAAACCAGTGCGATCAAATCTTCTATATAACTACCTCCTCTCTTCTATTTCTTCCTTTAACACTTTGTGCTCTGTTTGTTTGTATTCTATAGTATGTATGTTAAAGGGTTTTTTTGTTGCCAAATTTCAGATTTTTTTTTTCGATTAATGCTTCCCCTTTCCCAAACAAAATGTCCATTATATTCCTCCTCTTTTAGCCACCCTGTCTACCAGTCCATTACCCTTGGCATACTGAATGATGAAAATTAAACGAGGACAGATGTTTGTACCGTAGAGAAGCCTGTGCTTGATCTTACACTGGTTTCCAATAATATGTAAGGCACCAGAGGGAGGGGTCATTATCCTGTCCAATGCAGAGTAAATATTGGTACATGTCTGACCACATCAGACAGGGTTGGGAAACAAATACTGTAACATTTCAATTAATAATCAAGTTTTAATAAAAATAATAATTATGGCTTTCAATTGCTTCAATCACTTAACTCAACATATTTGGAACAAAACACTTGTTCAGCAAAGATAGTATCAAACTGTTTATTTATCCAGTATGAAAATTACTTTATAAAAAATATGGAAAACACATCAGTTACGAGTCCTTTCTTTTATTATTTGATACTTTGGTGCTCATGGTTTCTGTAAAATGAACAGAAGAACTGAATTGTGGAGAAACTAACTGATCTAATGATGACATATGTCCATATATAAAAAAAGTTTAAACATTTATATTTGTGTAGTAAATCCAAGCAGCTTAGAACTTGCTCAAGTGGGCGACCTTGTGTGCCTTCAAAGTTCTTATACTTTCAAAGAGTTTCTATAAAATTCAGACCTGCGTTTGTTTGTCCAAATGTGGAGTCACACCAGGCTATTACGAGGACCTGTGTCTAAATGGGACCCATCTTGCACATGTGCAGGTACCCAAAAAAAATCCCCCATCTCTGAGTTCTAAATAAATATAGAAAAACATTGAAAATTTGACAATTGAAAATTGAACATGAAATCTTCCCTAACTGACTTAACAGTCTGTAAACTGCTGAAGGGTCAATACCCATTACTATTACCATTATTTATCTTAAATTGCACATTTAGTTTTTTTGTCAAGCTGCTTAAAATGAAATTAAATTGTACACAATTGTACTTGCACATTGTTTATTGCTTATAGTGTATATCATTTTCAGTTATAGTGTTATATTTCTATTATATTTTGCCACCTACTGACACGGAGGAGTCAACTTGCAGTGCAACAATTTTCCTTGAGGTTTGACAGCAACTTGCATCCTTCGTGTTGCATTACTGCCATCCTCTGGAGTCAGTGAACTTCAATGTCCGGTTGCAGATTTTTCCCATCAGTCCTTTTTCTCCTCAGGAAACTGACCAAACATATTTTCCCTTGTCAATTTCCTGTGCTCCTTTTAGCCCTGATCTTTTTATTTATTCCGCTATGTCCTCTCTAATACATATTTCCTGCAACTAACAAGCAGGTGTTCCACAGTTTCTGGTATATGTTCACAAAAACTGCTTCTATGCTTCCCCATAATGCAAAGTGCGCCGTTCTGATACTGTGTACTAAGTAGCCCATCTGTTCTTTATCTGATCATTTTGACTTCTTTTTTATTTTCTCCCCTATTTCTCACAATACTATCTATTGCGAATTGAATGTAAATGTTTTTCTCTCTCATTACTGATTTTCATTCGTTATGCCCTTGCACTCTGATTTAGGAAATTATTGGAACTCTGCAATGAAAGTATTCACTCAGCCTTTACCATAATAGTTATTGCTACTTTATTTCCAATACTCAAAACAGGGTAACTCCATATCCCCACTCAGTTTTTTAATCTCCTCTTGTACCTGAGTAGTGTTCCCACTTGAGTTTTCAGCACTTTCTCCAGTACAGTATGTCCCTTTTTGCCTGTCTTCTTGTCCTCCTTACTACTGATTTGTTTGTGTCCTATACTAGAAAGAAGGTTCTTCTTGTTTAAATATTTTATTTATGTTTCTACTTTTCTCATGATACCACAGTGCTGCTGGTCTCTAATGCAGCTGAAATTATACCTCATCTTATATATTATTATCAAATGTTTCTATGTCCATATTATAATCTATCTGGCTCAGGTATATATTACTTTCTTTCTAAAAGGATTCTCCCAATTAGCTCTCTCAAAACGTTAAAAGATGGGTCATATTTAGACACAGGTCCTCGTAATAGCCTGGTGTGACTCCACATTTGGACAAACAAACGCAGGTCTGAATTTTATAGAAACACAACAAGCACACAAGGTCGCCCACTTAAGCAAGTTCTAAGCTGCTTGGATCTACTACACAAATATAAATGTTTAAACTTCTGTATATATGGACATGTCATCATTAGATCAGTTAGATTCTCCACAATTGAGTTCTTCTGTTCATCTTACAAAAACCATGAGCACCAAAGTATCAAATTATAAAAGAAAGGACTCGTAACTGATCCAATCCAATCCAATCCACTTTATTTATATAGCACGATTTCAACAAACACAAGGCTTCCAAAGTGCTGCACAAAAAACACTGTCATACTACAGCAATGCTAGAAGTCTGACTGTTTTGGCCATAGCTCAGAGCTTGTGGATAATTCTATGTGAGCAAAATACCTATATTTATTCATGGCCTCCCCACTGGATCAACTTGTCTAGTATTGTAATGGGAGTGAAGGTTGACCAAGAACAGCAAGACTGAGACAGCAGTCGGAACAGTTCAAGTTTATTGTCAAAAGGGTTGTAAAATCACGCAGGGTACACAAGCATAGTCCAAAACCTGAGCTAGCAAACGTCCGACCTTTCTAGCAGAGACCTCCGGGGAGGGAAATCCAAACCAAACCTGAGACGACAAGGGCGAGCAGGCAGAGGTGTCAGGACAGAAGGCGTTCAGGTTACTGGGGCAGGGACGAACGAGGACAGGTCGGGACAAGGCAGGGTCGAAACGCAAGGAAGCCTCCGGAAATAAACTAGAGAGGCATTGCATGGCTGTAAAGATATCTGGCAGAGGTGGAAAGAGTGGGTTTTAAATCAGGTGAGGGAACACTAGGTG